TATCACTTTTTAATCTAGCTAATGTTGCTATAAATATTATTCTTATTTTTATATATATAATTTTTTTAGGTTTCCTGGCCCATTTGCTAGTGTGATGGGGAATGTTGCGTATGACATAAAAGGGTTGTTGTGTTTTTTTTAATTTGGTTCAAATGTGGATCTATATATTTTAAGTGTCATTTTTAATATATTATTTTAATATGAATTTTGTTAATATTTTAATAGGTTAAGGCAAATTCAAATGAACTCCTGATACATTATCAACCCTTCAACAAATACTTGTGTCTACTATATATTCTTATATAAATAGTACATAAAATAATATGATGAAGTACAACATTATTTTATTTACTACTAACTTTGTACTCATTGCCTTTTTTTTTAACAAAGTAGATATTCTTGTGCTTTGAAAACACATGTGCCATTTTCCTTCTATCAACCATTCTTCAACACCTAATCAAACTCTGTGCTCTTCCTCAAAACCTTCCCTAAGCATCCTAACATGCAAAAACCTCAACTTCCTTTGACATCCTATAGTAATTGTTGTTTCTCTAATTCATTTGACAAATAATCATGTACTTTCATGAAAGCTCACCAACTGCTACCTTGAGTTATTGAAATAATTTATTGTTGTTTAATTTTTTTGAGTATTTGTTGTCTTATCTCCCAATGGATGGGGATAGAGATAGAAACTAGAACTGTGATTTCAGTGATATAGGGAACTCCCAGATGAAGAACCTTCTCAGGAATATAAGGTCTTAGAGAAGAGATCCCTGAAAGGTTAAATGATTTGTCCAGAGTTACCCAGCCAATGTTTGTCAAAGGCAAACATGAAGGCAGGTCTCCCTGGCCATGAGGCTCACCATCTCCTGTGCTGCCCTAGCTATATTTGTCTCTAAGTCCATTGTAATTTTCTTGAGGCCTAAGACTGTGTCTTTTAATATGTTATATATCCCTCACTGCTAAAGCGTACATTGCTGTCTACACTCTGAGTATTTAATAAACATTTATTGGCTTTATTTTAGTGTGAGTTCTTTTGGAAATTCCTTTTATTTTAGTTTGGAAAATATCAACTCTATGTATAAGCAATGTTTTTCCCATTCTATTTCTACCAGTCTCCTCATTGACTTATCAGCCTGAACTTATACATCATGGTTGTGCATTGAACAAGTACTTTAAATGAATCACCAAATACCAACCTTTTCTTTTGAGTATATATACTAATGCTGAAGCCATCAATGTGTTTGATTATGGAATAGTTCAGTGCAATGCCCAAAGGACCAGCTTTAAATTATTATTCATCTTTTATGTTGTTCATCACTTTAGTTTTATCAAGTATTTGAAGAGTTTCTTTGAATTCCTACAGCACTTAAGTATTCCCTAATTGTTCCTTAATGGTTATATGGTCATTTTATTTCCCCAACCAAATTACAGTCTCATTGAGGATCAAGACCATTACTTTTTTCAATCAAAAAAATAATTGTTTCATGTTTACCATATGCAATTAACTGTGCCTAAGGTTTGGGGGATAACAACAGAAAAATAAGGCAGAGCCTCTGCCTTCCAAGAAGTAACAATGGAAGCAAGGGAGATAAGGTGTTCCTACAGATAAAAATATAATAAAAATTGATTTATACATAAAAGAAGTAAGCCTTTAAAAAAAATCGCAAAGTTCATAATTTGTTACTGCTCAGTTATTTTTCAGTTGTGTCCAACTTTTCATGATCCTATTTGGGGTTTTCTTGGCAAAGATACTCGAGTGGTTTGCCATTTCCTTCTTCAGCTCATTTTACAAATGAAGAAGCTGAGGTAAACAGGGTGAAGTGACTTGCCCAGGGTCATGCAGCTAGTAAATGTCTAAAAACAGATTTGAACTCAGGTAGATGAGTCTTCCTGACACCAGGCCTGGGACCCAATCCATTGCACCACCTAGCTGCCCTAAAGTTCATAACAAGTTCAATAAATGGTAGGTTGATTTGATTATTACTTCAGAATTTATACTTGCTTTCTGTAACTGAGTAATTTTAAATTGTCAGCCAGCTATTTTCCCTCAACTCTTTATCTTTTTAAATCATATCTTAATACACAAGTGTTCCCCAGTCATCTCCCCTCTCTACTTCCAACATAAAAAAACAAGCTCTTTCCCAGCACTGTTTAAATCCCAACTAAGTTTTATTCAGTGATAGAACCTTGCCCGCATGTCCTTTAATGCTGTTATTTTCATGACAAGTCCCTCCTAAGGTACTGTGTTGAAGTTTCTCTTTCCTACTTAGATTTAAATAATTCAAACATCTACAAGGTAAAATGACACATCATTTTTTACCTTTCCTCATTAATTTTCTTTATATTTTGGTCAACCTTTATTGAATCTCTCACAATCTACCTAGATTTCATATGAAGCATTAGGAATATGAAAAGGAACAAATAATTTGTAGAAGACCTTTTCATCTTCTGAGGATAATCATTGTCTCTTAGAACCAAGCAACTGAAAGTCAGATATATACTGCTTAATTAAATGTACATACGGGCTTGAAAAATAACTAGTGAAACCCCTCTTTTACCTGCGTCCTTTCTGGCCGATAACAGCATTTTTCTCATGGTGTCTTGGAACTGTTGCTCAATTTGCTTTTTTAATCTGAATGAATCACTGAGAGTTAGTGTAGTACTCTCATTAATCTCCTGTTCACTAATGTGAAGGATGAGCAGTCAAATGAGGAAGCAGGCCTGAACCTGTTGCTCCAAGTTAAGTTGTTTATTTGAAAGGATATCTCCTTCCCTCTTCCCATGAAGTATTATCCTCTACTCCAGCCCTTAAGGGAACAACAGTCCTGGGATGCAAAGGGAGTCGGTGTCTCCTATTATCACCACTGAGGCTTCTGAGAATGGTTGCATAGCAGCAGTGATATTTCAGTTCATACCAGCCTTGCCCAGATAGCAAAACTGGGTCTTCAGGGATTTGTTTTTCCAATTTCAAATGGTTGACAACTTTATTATTGTTGTTGTTGTTGTTATTTTAACATTGTCTGAGTTCCAAAGAAAAATACCATTCTAACCAGGAATTCCTAATTCCTAACTTTGTTTTGACAGATAATAGTGAGTATTTTAATAATTACCAGTATGCTATTTTAGGTTTATCCATCAACTATGACAACCTAGTTGCTTTAACCAACTGGAATTTGAGGAGAATTTTTGTATGTTTTTACTATTTTTTTTTAGGTTTGAGGGTGTAGCAATGCAAATTTATCCTTTCTTTTCCTTCCAAACGTGTACAATCATAATTTTACATTTATATGAAAGTCTTGACTGATGGAAAGGAAAATCATTCTTCTAATGGCTTCAGTTTAATTCTTAAAATTAGGCCATCAGATATATTACACACTATAAACAGACTTCGCTATAATTAGACAAACAAAGTAGAGTTTAACACTTTCAATCAGAGGAAATGTTTTAAACATTGGAGGGATTACCTAAAGCAAATATGCATAAAACCAAGCATTCCATTTTGATTTTCTTAGTATTTTTTTTCCAGTTTTCCCATTGCTTTTCTGGTATACATGAAGTGAATAGAGGGATAAATAGAGAGAAGTAGCAAGATATAAAACAGCTTGGGTTTTAAAGCAGAAGAACTGATATTAAGGGAAATTATCTATTTTGGATGTTACTGTTATTAAGTATTTATATGATGCTGCTACTCAAGTGGTTTACAAACATCAAGCACTTAACAAAATTTTATAACAAAACTGTGTTAGATAAACATCTAAAATAATCAAACAACACTCCCTTCCCACAGGTGCACATTTCCCCTTTCTTCCCAGCATCCCCTTTCTTCTCTGACACACAGGTATACATGTATTCTTCCCTGACTACCACCAGAAAAAAAAAAGTCTCAGACCTCAATACATGATAACTTTTCATTGGGAGATTCCCTTTTAGTTCATCCTTTTTGATCTCTCTGCAGCCTTGGGCACTGCTGATTACTCTCTTCTCCCTAGCTTTTTATTTAATTATTTATTTATTTTTCCTTTTTGGTGAGGCAATGACTTGTCCAAGTCACACACTCCCTAGCTTTTTAGGACACTGCTATCACCTGGTTCTCTTCCTACCAGTCTGATTGCTCCTTTCTTTTGCTGGATCTTCATCCTCATCTTGCTTGCAAACTACAGGTCTCCCTCAGGGCTCAGTCCTAGGCCCTCTTTCCTTCTTCCTCTAAATTACTTCACTTGGTGATCTCATCAGCTTCTGTGGATTTAATCATCATCTCTATGCTGTGATTCTCAAATTTTCTTATGTAGCCACAACCTCTCTGTGGACTTCCAGTCTCACATCTCCAGTTGCCTTTTAGACATCTTGAACTGGATGTCCAGTAGACATTTGAACTCAATGTGCCCAAAGCCCAAACCCTCTCCACTTTCAAACTTCCTTGTTGCTACAGAGGATAACACCACCCTCCTAGTCCCTCCGGCGTACAACCTAGGAGTCATGCTGGATTCCTCACTTTCTCAGCCTCCCCCTGCCCCATAGCCAAGCTGTTGCCAAGGCCTGCTGATTTTACCTTTGCAACATCTCTTGAATACACCCCCCTTCTCTCCTCTGATACTGCCAACCCTCTAGGAAATGCCCTAATCACCTCATACGTGGACTGTTGTAACAGCTGCTGGAGGGTCTGCCTGCCTTAAGTCTTTCACCACTCTAATCCATCCTCCATTCAGCCACTAAAGTGAGTGCAATTAGTATGAATAAGGGGCAAGGAGATGAAAGGGAAAATATTATTTAAAAAATGAATTTTTAGTAGCAGTCATTTTTAATGGTCTATAAGATTCTTAAAGCATAAATTACCATTTGATTTGAACTGACAGGTATGTTACAAATCAAGCTCTTATGCTAATATTGATTGCAAATATTTTCACCCATTTTCCACAAAGGGGCCTCTGAAAAGTTGAAACAAAATTTGGTTCTTCAGAATTCCATCATCTCACAATCCCTTTGCCTTTTCATTTTAGGGATTCTTCAGCAAGCGATTGAAAGGCTCCATAAAGAGGACCAAAAGTCAATCAAAACTTGACAGAAACACAAGCTTCCGGCTCCCATCGCTTCGCAACACAGAGGACAGGTAGGAGGTTTCTAGAAACAGAGAAGGGGGTTTCTTGTCTGTGTTTTGGCAAAGCAAAGTAGTCTGCTAAGCATGGATACAAAGAAAACAACATGAAAATGGAAGGAAAAAATGCAATCTACTTAATTTATGTGAATGTATGAACCCCATTTCATATGGAACTTTAGTCTTTGATCTATGGCTTGTCTAAAACTTCCTTCAGAAGAATCAGCAGAGTGTAGTGGAAGGAGCGCTACACGTCAGCAGATAATAACTCACGTTTATGTAGTGTGGAGAAGGTTATCCAAGTACTTTCCTCACAACAGCTTTCATATTCGGTCAGGAGAGCAATTTTCCCCCATTTTAGAGGTGAGCAAGCTGAGTTTTAACACTTACACAGCTAATGTCAGAGACAGGACTTGAATCTAGTTCTTCTGACTCCATGCCCAATTATTTTTCCCTCATACCACATTGATATGGGCCACCCACTAGTTATATGATTTAGGACAAAGTCAGCTTCATCCCACTGTTCTCCAGCATGTAATAGAAGTTGCCTTGCCTATCCTACAACCTCCCAGTGTTCATAGGATCCAATGAGATTATGTACATAAAAGCATTTTGAAAATGGCCATAAAACTATACAAATAGAAGGTGCTACTGTTACTTATTACGAGCTTTATTTTTTTGTTTTTAATTTTTGGTTTTTTTGGATTGTGTCCCTGAACACTGCATAAGAGGCCATCTTAAAGTCCAACAGTTAACCGACTTCTCATTGGAGATTACATGAGCTGAGTGTATAAGCAATTGTGCAGTTCTCTGTAGCACCTGTGATAGTTGGGCTGTGGTGTGTGAATCAAGATGTGAGGCACTTTACACACGGCTGTGAAGGAATGGTATTTGTTTCCTATGTGACACAGTCATTTTACTTTCTAGTCAAACTTTTTACAATGGAAAAAAAAGGGGAGGGGACCCAGATTTGCAGTGGTTGACACGTGCGGAGTTTACTAAAGAACCAACCAGAACTTCATTAGCAATAGCAGCACACTTCATAATTTACATTGCATAGGCACTCATCTCCTTAAAGCTCAAACAGAAATACCAGTATTTCTGTAGCTTTTACTTTCATTTAACTTGACAAACAAACCCCTATTTTTCAAAGCACGGACGTCACCTGAGAATTACTGCTCATCTCTTATAAAAGAAGAAGATGAGACTCCCAGAGTTTATAACTTGCCCATCCTTATATGGCGAGTCTTTGATGGATTAAAGATCTGTAGTGAGATATGGCCTGCAAGTCAAGGCACAGCACACTAGATTTGGAGTCTAAGAATAGGGTTCGTGTCTCAGCTCTGAAACTTACTCCCAGTAGGGTGTGAGGCAAGCCCCTCCTCCTCACTGAGCCTCAGTGTAAATTATCTGTAAATTGAGAGGATCAGATTTGGTGTCTTTTAGGTCCTTTCCAGTTCCAAAACCTCAGAAGTTTGCCTTTAGTCCCCATTCAGCTATGCTGTAGATGATCTATATGGTTTTTGAAAAGTTATTTATTTACAAGTATTTCCGGAACATACCACAGTAGTCTTTTGTTCTCATTATCATCTCTGTATTTTTTATGCTTTTAAATTAATCTTAAACTAATTCATTAAGCACCTACTATGTGCCAGCTACGGAGGATACAAGTAGATAGGATGAAACAATCTCTACTCACAGTGCCCTTAATATTCTAATCGAAGAGGTAGCAAGTTCATAGGGAAAAAAAATACATACAGCATAAATATAAAGTGAATAAATGCGAATATATAAAAAGTTGTTAAATAGAAGGTTATTGGAGAAGGAGGGCATTAGCAGTTGTAGACCTCCGGCATCTTAAAAGAGAGGGGCTCTGTGAGGCAGAAGCAAGGAGGGAGTGGAGTGCATTACAGTAATGGCACCCAGCCAAGTGCAGAGGCATAGGAAGAGGGAGATGGGATATGGAGCAATAGGAAAACCTGTTTGGCTAAAATGCAGATTGTGGGAGGGGAAGTACTGTCCACTGAGTTACAAAAAATAGGTTGGGACTAGACTGTATATGAGGAGTTTCTGTTTTGTCCTAAAGCCAGCAGATAGCCACTAGAGTTTGGTAAGTAGAGCAATCATGTGATCGAACCTGTGCTTAAAGACACTTTGTCATCAGTGGGCAGGGTGGACTGGAGTAGGGAGAGATTCAAGGCAGGGAGACCAATTAGGAGGCTAGTCTAGTAATCTAGGCAAAAGGTGCTAGGAACCTGAATTAAGGTAGTATATACTATATCAGCGGAGAGAGATGATCAGGTGTAAGAGATGGTATGCAGGTAAAAATTCCAAAATTTGGCAACTGATTGGTTGAGGGAGAATAAGGAACCCAGCATAATTCTGAAAATACAGACCTGAGACACTGGAAGAATTGGTGATGCTTTTGACAGGAATGAGGAAGTTTGAAAGAGGGGAGGGTTTAGGGGAAAAGATAATGAAATCAGTTTCAAACTTGTCAGCTTGAAGATATCCCTGGGACATCCAGTTTGAAATGTATATGTTTATGAGTCATTTTCTTCATGTACCTTTACCTCAGTGCTCTGTGTTTCCATAGTTTCATTCATTCTAGGGTCTGAAAATAGCCAAAAAACAAGTCATTGAAATGGCACAGCCTAAAACTATACAGTTACCCTTCTATATTGTGGGAGTTAGAGGCACAGCACTCCCACGATCTGGAAAATCCAGGTAAAATTTTCTGTCCCTCCCTTCATACCAAAGAAGAAGTCTGAATTTTTTCTTTTTCTTTTATGGGTTGTTTACAGTACCTTATTGTAAAATTTGGTTTAAGTATTTGGTCATAGGCTCTGTGTTGCCTGCTGGCATTCACACATTGTCTACGGCTTCCACGAAACTCCCAAAAAATTCCCATTTAATTTCTTATGCGAATCCACAATATATCAAAATCAAGATGGGGAAAGTCTCGATGTGGAAAGGATAACTGTGTCTGAGAAATTTTTCTTTAAGGGAGAAAAGGATATGCAGCCATGAAAGTTCCCCTCAAACTCAGTAGGCAATTTAATCAACTCCTTGTATTATTGTGGTTCAGCATTTGGAAGCTTCATAAAGAGAGAGTTCCTTTTGTTTTTCCTCATCCCTACAACAACTGCACATTTTTTTAACTTTGCATTAAATGTCATCTTCCCTGTTCAAATTAAATGCCTGATTTTATTCTATCTTGTATTCATAGTAGCCCACAGGAAGAAAAAGGCTGAGATGCCAAGAGATTAGATTCACTTCAGGTGTTTGGAGAGCTGCTATTGTGTTCTTATGTCATTTTGTAGCCTTTCCACTGGTCTGAATTTATTATTTGGGCCTGTCATATTGTTCTGCTTCAATCAATAAGCTATCTTTTTGTCTAAAATTTAGCACAATAAAAGAGTGATAGCAAGCTTTAATATGTTACAAAGCCCTTGTTAACCATTTGAGTTATAGAGGTATAGGCATCAGGATTCTGTAAAACAAAACAAAACAAAAGAAAGCACAGCACACCATAATCTTTCCCTTTCTGAGGATGTCCTCACTGCAGTTTAAGTGGATTGTAAAAATAACAGAAAAAAACGCTAGGCCTTTTTGCTTCTTGGCCAACTGGTGACATGCAGAAATGCTCCTGTGAATTAACTTGGCTCATCACTGGCAGTCTCACAGGTATAACTAAAGATCTGTCATAAATCTGTGTTTCTGGATCATATATACATCTGCTGTCGAATTCTCTTCCTTGATTTTAACACAGGCAGTCTAAGCCAACAGCAAGTATGTCTTTTTTGTTCCCAAATACATGAAATTTCAGGGCAGGGAGTAGGGGTAGAGATTGTAAGCAGGACAGATTGAATGGAAATTCTCAACTCAAGAGAACTGGAATTGGTCAAGCAACATCCTCATTTCATCTGAGACTCTTATGATACTGGCCCTGTCACAGCTGTTCTAATTCACTGGCATGTCAGGAGGATAATCAAGTGGGCATTGTAATATATCTTGAGCACTTTAAAAGAGGGCTTTAGATAGCTAAAAGTTGTATTGTCTGTGCTCCTAGCATTTTTAAAAAGATGAAATTATCTTCATGTGGACTAAAGTGCTAGTTCAGGATGGCAGAAAGACATTTCAAGATGAGTTATTCTCTTCCTGTACAAGGGTTACTGCTTATGGTCCATAGGTTTTTCTATGCAAAATACCACTGGGCTTTTTTAGCAAGCAGACTTCATTGATTTGAATAGACCATAAAGGCTCCAGGTCTGTCTTGCCAATGATCCACATATCATAAATTCTGTTACTTATGTCCTGATGGGATTTGGCCCTGCTGCTCTCTGAAGGATCAATGTATAATGAGCCACACACTCAAAAATCTCTATGTGGAGTACATGTACAAGAAGTATAATTTTCCAAATTATCAGCATTTCTAAATACTCGTAATAATTATTTCTATAATCGGCTAGAGAGTCATGAAGTTCCACCAAAACTAAAACCATTTATTTAAGGAATTAGCCTTTATAGATATCTGAAGAGTCAGCAGTATTTTCCCATTACCATTTCACTCTCAAGGTATAGAAAAGAATTGAATGGTAGCACTTCCTGTCATTCCTGCTATAGCATTCCTTCCATCTGGTCAAAACTAGTAGGAGTTGGAGGAATGCAGAAATCAATGGCCACACAATGTTCTCTACCATCCAGTATTTGAATGTCAAACCTCAGTCTCCCTCCAGAAAACCAGGTTAAGATTGCCAGATATATGGGGGTACCTATGACTTAAAATTACAGCCTTCTAAATGCCATTTTCTCATTGCCCAAAATTGGTAATAAAAATATTTTAAAGTTGTTCATCTTTATGTGATTGCCTGCCAAAATATCCAAGTGTCTCGAAATGCTTTGTTGATTTGTGGATGCAAGATACTAAAATGTATGGCTTTCACTGTCCACAGAAACTTAGAAGAACATTAATCAGTTTCTGAGTTTTACTTCACTTGTAAAAAATGGGATTT